CCTGCTGATCGTGTCTAGAAGAACCACCTCAAAAGATGGAGGATCCCTCTCTGTCATCACCCATGAGGGTCGGAGGAGAAGTGATGATGAGGAGGTGGGGCGGGACCCGTTTATATACCCCATTGCTACACGCTGCGTACACGCTAGGAACACGCTAGAAGAACGCTGGGCGCGCTACAGACTCGTTCAGCACTCGTTCAGCACGCCCATATTCGCTGCATGTTCGCTGGACATGCGTTAGAAGCACGCTAGGTGTGCGCTAGGTGTGCGCTAGGTGTTCGCTACACCTCAGCCGACGAACATACAACGAATACCTATCGTGTGCTCCGCGTGGGTCTGGCGTTGGTCCAGCGCGCTCGGCGCGTGTCTGGCGTCCTTCTGGCGTGTACTTTCATGCGTCGAGCTCCGCGCACAAGTTTGTGCATGCACAAAAATCCCGACGCACACGACGCGCACGAGCGAATGACAACGAATGCATAGCGTTGGTCCAGCGCGCTCGACGAACGAGTAACGAATGCTGACGCACACCCAGCGAACGACAACGCACTGGCCAAAATTGCTAATTTTTCAGTGCGCGGGCCGTGCGTCGTGTATGTGTGACTGGGCCCGCGCACAAAACAGAAAATGTGTTACCTTTCTTGCATTGCTGTATACCGTGTCTATGCATCACACATTCAGCGATAAACTATTTTATCAGAAGAGGAAACTTATGACATATTGTGTGATTATTGATGGCAATGACGTTAGCCTATGGGACTAGGTTTGTTGACTCGAATAAATTCGGGTCAATCGGCCCGTGTTATTATATCTATCAAATAAAGTGCCTTAGAGTAAGCTTGGAGCGTTAGGCTGGTCATGAATTTTTGAAATTGTCATATTGTGTCATGTATTTCTATTTATACTATACATGTCTATAATAGGTGAATAATTCGGTTTATGAACCCTCGGAAACTGTAGAAATTAATTCACAAGAATGTGTATACAGCGTTATCAGCCTAGGACCCAGCGTTAGGCGAAGGCATTGTGTAGCACTCATATATTTATTGGGCATTGTGTAGCACTCATATATATAGCACTCATATATAGTGGTGTGTAATGTGTATAGTAGATATCTATGATAGGGCTGCTATTGAGTTCCGCGGACTAGGAACAGTTTCCTCCGACGAGCAACGTACGGCATGTTGACAAAGATCTATCTACAAATCCAGGTTTGAACGCGACAAGGTATTATAGTCTGCAAATGTTTGACACGAAGAAACGTATGTACCCATCATCTGCTTTCAAGAACATAAAAGGAAGATTATTGATAAATTCGCCTATGGCTGTATAGCCGAATAAATATTAATGACTTATTTTTCTTGGGTTTGGTCGGCAGTCTCAGACAAGTTTAGCAAACTCGTTTCTTGTCGTTTGAAGTAAAGATAGTAATATTAGGGGTTAATAATGATAAATTGTCATTTCACAATTTGACAAATTGACAATTTGTCATTATTAACCCCTGGTAATGTGAAATACAATGCTCTAGTTTGTGTATCGTTATTTTAATAACGATACATCCGCTGAGTGGGTATTGAGGTTGCGTAATGAAATGCATTGTTCAGTCTCGCGTCATGTCCCAGATATTCCGGAGTTGTGGGTACCCTCGACATACATCTAAATTAAAAGCTTTTGTTAATGATTCATAATCATACATTAGTCATGATTCATAATTATTTTCACACTGCAATGGTGGTGGTGGCGATAGTAGCGTTCGTGGTGACAGCTAGTCGTGGTGATGTTGGTGATGATGGTAAAGGTGTTGTGGTGGTGTTGGTGTTGGTGGTGTTTGTGGTGTTGGTGTTGGCGTAGTTTCTGTTGTTTTGTTCAACCCCAGAATTCTTTGTAGTATTTAAGCGGTAGGTGTCCATCTCGGTATAATTATATGATAATAATTTGAGACTTAGATGTGCACGCACAATGGAATTTTGTCCTGTATGGTCAAAATGCTAACCCCGATTTTTAAATACGTTGTTCGTCAAAATTATAATGGAAATTCATATATTAAAATTAAGTAGCATAATATATTTATAGAAGCGCACACACACGCGCACGCACGCACGCACGCACGCACGCACGCACGCACGCACGCACACACACACACACACACACACACATACACACAC